ACTGGAAGTAGGGTCTGGCTGCAGGCAGGACAGGGGTTGCAGGGCTGGGTGCGGGCAGGAGGTGCAGCAGGGGGTGGCTGCGGGCAGGGGGTGGCTGCGGGCAGGGGGTGTGGGGCTGGTGCGGGCAGGGGGTGCAGCAGAGGCAGCTGGAGCCCCCGAGCCCCTGTTACCCCAGGGTTCTGGGGGGCTATTTAAAGGGCCCGGGGCTCCCCTGCTTCTACTGCCCCGGCCCTTTAAATAGCCACGGGAGCTCTGGGGAAGCGGTGGGGCTCCAGTGACTAGTTAAAGGGCTGGGGCGGTAGAGGCAGTGGGAGCCCCGGATGTTTTAAATAGCCCCCAGAGCCCTGCAGCCCTACCCCAGGGCTCCAGCAGTGGGGCTCTAGTGGCAATTTAAAGGGCCTGGGGCTCTAGCCCCTGCTGGGAGTCCCAGGCCCTTTAAATTGCCCCCTGGGGAACAGGGCCGGCTCCAGGGTTTTGGCCGCCCCAAGCAGCCAAAAAAAAAAAATGCCGCGATCACGATCTGCGGCGGTAATTCGGCGGGAGGTCCTTCGCTCTGAGGCGGAGTGAGGGACTGTCTGCCGAATTGCCGCTGAATACCTGGACATGCCGCCCCTCTCCAGAGCGGCCGCCCCAAGCACCTGCTTGACAAGCTGGTGTCTGGAGCAGCCCCCTGCTGGGGAAGCCGGGCGGCCCCATACACCGTACTGGGCGCGGGCCTGATTCAGAGGAATTGGTTGAATTGGTCTAAAGCCGGCCCTGGGTGTGGAGAGTGCCCATCCCCGGGGTATCTGACCCGGGCTATGGAGATAAGTTGAGCAGGAAGCTGGAAGGCAGCGACACAGTTCTGTGGGAGCCCCTGGTGCTCGGCCGGCTCGGGGGTCTTGGGCTGGCCGGCTCAGAGCGCGGCGGTGCGGGGCACGGGGGAGGGGTTAGCAGCGGTCCGCAGGCAGGGCTCTGGTGGGCGGGGGCGGCCGGGCTCTGCGGGGCGGGGAGAATGACTCTCCCCGCGCCTGCCGCCGGGCCAGCAACGCGGCCCCTCTGCCCCCGCCATGGCTTCGCGCTGGGAGCGGCTCTTCGACTCCGTGGGACACTTCGGCAGGTAGCGGGACGGGACCCCAGCGCCAGGCGAGGCGGGGCGGGTGTTTTCCAAGGGAAACTGAGTCGCCCTGAGCCTGCTCCGGGGCAGCGGCGGAGCTCCTGGGAAGCAGCGGCTGCCGGCCCCAGGGGTGAGGAGGAGCGTGGCGGGTCCCTGCCCTGCTGGCCCCCCTGGGGGCTGTCACGCTTCAAAATACCGAGTCAAACCTACCTCCTACCAGCCCGGCCGGCTGCGAGACCCTGCTGCCGCTTGCCAGGGGCGCACCTGCACTCCGCAGGCAAAGGGCGGGCTTGCGGCGGCGTGCGTTGGTCGCAGCCAGGTGTTTCCCAGGGACGTGTCTAGGGCTCCAGGGTGGAAATGTTCTGTGTTGGGTTCCACCTTCCAAAAAAAGATTATCTGCATCTGGCCCATAGTCCCAGCTACAGCCCAGCAGCGATGTGCGCTTCTCAGCACGAGCTAAGAAGCGCTTCCAAGTATTTGCTGATTTTTGTTGTTACTGCTGCTAGTGAGAGCCGGCAGCCCGAGTTCTGGCATGTGGCTCAGCTCTCAAAGTGCCCATAGTACCTCCTGATGAAAGCAGTTACCAGCGCCTTAGTTTTCTAGTCTTTTCACAGCGCTTCTTGCAGATAATGAGGGAAGAATTTAATAATGAGGCAGCCTGCCAACTGGTCTTGCTCCTACTCAAGTCAATGGCTGTATTTCTTTTGGCAGTTGATAAGAGTTACATTAGCTCAGGTCAGGACCTCACAGGATAAGCCCCAAATTACAAAAACTTAATAATATGTATTCAGCCTGAGCTATGCAAGTTTTCAGAAGGTTACAGCTGGAGAAACAAATAAAGTCATGGCTTATTATGGGTGCATTACACACACTCCCTTCCCCAGTATATGTAAGTAACCCTTTCAAAGAATTTTTTTAACCCAAAATGATCTCATTCATCTATTATGAAATGGCTGCTTTAATGGTGTGTTTAATTAGTTTTGATTCATGCATAATAATACAGCTGAGAATCCTTGTTAGCAAATCAGATAGCTTCCTCTGTTAACCTATTTTTATAAGCTCATATAAATCATGTTGTGCTATATATGGTTTAAATAGTTCTTGCACAGTTAGATTCTGAGCAATCCAAACATGACTGATAGTATTTTGGAACTGGTTTGATTATTTTAAGCTCCAGTTCATACAGTAAAGAATGGACAGCTGTTAATTTAAAAAAATCACTTTTAGTTAAAAGCATTAAATTTGCATGGTTAATACTAATCCCTTTTTTTTATTTGGCTCCCTTTCAAAATCTACTTTGGCGCCTACAGCCATTCAAATATTGGTTCTGTCATGTGCATACAAATTGTTGATTTAAAAATAAAAGACAACAATTTCAAGCTGGCGTTCAGCATTTCATTTAAAATATTTCAGCAGTTTCTCAATATTTCAAGTCTTTTATTTCCATCCTGCCCTCCCCTGTTTGTTCAACTCATCCCAGTTTTTGTAAAAGTACATTAATTCAAAGTTTTGCTATCACTGAAAAGTCAGATCATGGCCTTGTCCAAAGCCATTTCAAAACAAAATAGGTCATTAAGGTTGTAAAAAGATAATTTGTAATACCAATATTAGAAAATTGCAATAATTAAAATAAAACATATGTTTGAAAAGAAACACCAAGCTAATGTTAAAAAAAATTACATCTTCCCTGCTGCATATATGAATTATAGCAGAATGGTCTCCTGTTATCAAGAAAAGGACTGTGTCCATTCATGTTTGACTTGTGCCTCGCACAATGGTGCTATGATCCTGACTGGGGCCTTCTGGCACTAACTACAATAAAAATAAAAAATAATAACCTGCATTCTCTCCCTTCTGATGTCTATCAGAAACCGATACTGTGAAGGTGAGTACGTTATTGTCGGGGGGATGGGAGTGGAGGTGGGGGAGGTTGTCTGTGGCTCATAAATTCAGGAAAGTTGCCTGTATTTGGAGTGTGAAGTCTCTGACCATTACTGGGAAGATAAATGGAGAAGAGTATGGTGTCTAGCCCATCACAGAATGGTGAAATGAGCCATGGTTTAGTCTGGAATAAATATAGAGCGTAATATATGAGCTACCCGTACCAAGAGGATGGATGAGGGTCAGGATTCCAGTCCCTAATCTGAACCACTAGTGCAGAGGTGGGCAAACTACGGCCCGCGGGACCCTCCTGCCTGGCCCCTGAGCTCCTGGCCCGGGAGGCTAGCCCCCGGACCCTCCCCTGCTGTTCCCTCTCCCCCGCAGCCTCAGCGCGCTGCCGGCGCAAATGCTCTGGGCAGCCGGGCAGCACAGCTGCAGAGCCATGGCCTGACCCGGTGCTCTGTGCTGCGCAGTGGCGTGGCTGGTTCCAGCCGGGCGGCGTGGCTGTAGTGTCGCCAACCAGTGCTCCAAGCAGCGTAGTAAGGGGGCAGGGACCAGGTGGGGTTGGATAGCGGGCAGGGGTGTGCAGGGGTGTGGATAGGGGTCAGGGCGGTCAGAGGGCGGGGAACGGGGGGTGTTGAATAGGTGCAGGGGTACCAGGGTGCAGTCAGGAAGAGCTTTCCATGGAGTTGTAGGGGAGTCTTGGCTTATACTTTAATTAAAATAGATGAGAAAAAATGCCAGGGGAAAGGGGTCAGGATTTACCCTATTTGTAGATTTCTCAGTGAAATATTTCTACACTTTCTGATGTATAGGTTTTTTTGAACTGCAATGATCTAAATTCCTGTCTTTCAAATACCTGATTTTATATCTAACTCCACATTTTCTAACTTTACAATTTTTGCTTAATAAATGAAATGCTCTAATAGCATTCTTATCAATTAATAGTATAGTTGCTACCTTAACTTTATTTTAACAAAATTTTTGGTTGATTTATTTCACTTTAAAAAAATCTTTTTACACTGCTGGTGTGTGAAAACTTGTAGTATGTTAGATGGAGTTGCTACAATTTGGAGCAAAGAGAAACCCAATACAAGAACTACTCCAGTGTTTATAAATTCAGCAGGAGACTGTGTTGCTTATAAAAACTGCTTTGGACCAGAGATTCCTACATTGGAGCTCTACCACATCCAGACCCCCAGGTCTATACTAGTCCATCTAAGCTTTTATATGTGCTCATTGCCCTAACAGCAGTATTTGAGTTCCATGTGCGAGGCCTTCCCTCTCCTTCCCACTTGTTGGGCCCTTATCTGTCTCCAGCCCATCCATTCTGTGATAGACTCTCCCTCTCCTTTTCACTCAGAGCTCTTCTAGACTCCTCCTCCCCATATATAGCCCTGTATTCCCTCTCGTACGTCATAGCTCACAGATCTTGTTGTGGCCGTACCACCCCTTGTGTAAATTACTATATGTTCATAGGGCCTCATGGAATTCCCAAGGTTCACAAAAGATGTATCAAATAACAAAAAAACCCAACCATCTCAAAAGTACTCAGACACCATGCCTTCATAGAGAAAAAGAAGATAATTGTACAGAGTGTATTTTTGATTTTCCGACCTCTCTTATCTCAAAAAAGGCCTTGAAAGATTACTTCCAGACTTCCTCAAAATACACAATTCTGGCAGATATGAATACACATGCATAAGAAATTTGACAATTGGTTTTGGTTCACTCAATTTACTGTGGAAGAACAGGTGGTCATAGTCCACTTTCTAACAGAGCTACACATAACCATAACAATGAAGAGACTACAGTCTTTCTATAATCTATATAATAAGATTCCAGGATTGTCACTGTGTGTGTCACTCTGAAGTCTAGAATGCCCATTGAGTCAACGTGAATCAATGGAAGCAGCTACAAGCATTGTTAAGAGCTCGTTTTGTTCAGAATCACTAGATTGGATCATCACTGGATTTCACAGTCAATTACCTTTCAGTTTTTAAGTTCAGCAATTTTGACTTTATGAATTACACCTGTACGCCAGCATAGACGTTCAGCTACTGTAAAGCATATATGCCATGCCAAGAGTCCTAGATAGGGTGACCAGATGTCCCGATTTTATAGGGACTGTTCCGATTTTTGGGTCTTTTTCTTATATAGGCTCCTATATACAGGGCCACCCAGAGGATTCAGGGGGCATGGGGCAAAACAATTTCGGGGTCCCCTTCCTTAAAAAAAAGTTGTAATTCTATAGAATACTATATTCTTCCCTGCGGGGCCTGGGGCAAATTGCCCCATTTGCCCCCCCCCCGGCGGCCCTGCCTATATAGGCCCCCCACCCCCGTCCTGATTTTTCTCATTTGCTGTCTGGTCATCCTAGTCCTAGACCATTGTGACATCAGCGGTAACTCAACCAATCACCACCTTACTCTACAGCTACCTGAACAGCACCTACCCTTCAGTACCCTTCAGTGTTCCAGTTATGACTACTATTCCATGTTTCTGTTGTCCCTATAATATCTGATTTCACTTCCTGCACCAATAGTTCTTGTTCCTCCATTTTGTTATGCAGGCTTCTTGCATTGATGTGGCACATCTTATTTGTTTCTGCTTGGCTTCATGCAGATTCCTCGCCTAATTTAGGTAGTCACTTTACTGCCATCATCACCTACCTGACTGTTACTGTCAGTGGTACTGGCTCTATCTTTCCTCTTGTTGTCCATTCTCCTACCCTCTGTTGTTGTTGTTGTACTCCTTTTACTTGATTTTCCTTCCATTCAATATTAGAATCAGGTGTGAAGATTACATGAGCATCTCCCCCAAATTCTTAGTTTAAAGCTCTTTTAATCAGTTCTGCTAATCTCCATTGCAGAAGTCTATTTCCCTCTCTATTCAGGTAGAGTCCCTCCCAATAGAACCATCCTCTGTCTGTGAATGCCTCCCAATGGTTGAATATTCCAAAACCCTCCTTATAGCACTATAGACTATTTGCTGATCATCATAATCTTGTTTTGCCTTTTGTGCTTTTCCTCTAGGGACAGGTATAATCCCATTGAAGATCACCTGAGCCTCCATTTCTTTAATTATATTCCCCAGCCTAGCATAGTCTTTCTTAATTCATCCCAGGGAGAATCTATCCATATCATTTGTTCCATCATGAAGGACAATGAGTGGATTCTTTCCTGCTCCCATTAGGATCCTCTTCAGCCTCATGTCCACATCCTGTATGTGTAATTTTGTTCTAGTTTTTTAATCAAAATATTGTGCAGTAGCAAGTGAAACACTTTACAGAAGTTTAATTATATTATGACAACACTATTGCCTTCATCAACCAAACTTCGTATCTTTTTTTTTATGAGAGTACAAGTTAGTTTCACAAGTTCTATATTCTAGAAGCCCATGTTGATTTGCATTAAATACATTACCCTCCTTTTAATTCTTTATTAATCATGTCCCATGTTGGACACTCCATTATCTTGTCTGGGTTTGATGAGTGCCTGGATCATCCCATTTACCCTTTTTAAAAATTGGCACAGCATTAGCTTGCTCCAAGACTTATTCATTTCAACATTAATGGTCCACAATGCAAGTTATCCGTACCTGCTGATTTTAAAAAGTCCAACTTTATTAGCTTCTGTTTAATATCCCCCAGAGATACTAGTGGAATAGAAAGAGTGTTATTACCATATGATGAGACTACATAATTTATTTTCCCCCCAAATACAGAACAGAGATATTTATTGAACACTCCTGCCTTTTCTGTATTATTATTGATAATTCTTCCATTTCCATCTACTAATGGACCATTACCATTGTCAGGATTCTTTTTGTTCCTAATATATTTAAGAAACTCTTTATTATCCTAACTCTGCTGGCCATAGATTTCTCTTTCAGTCCCTTTGCTTCCCTTATCAATTTTCTACAATTCCTAACTTCTGACTTATATTCATTACTATCAACTTCCCCTTTTTTCCATTTGTTATATGTTGTGATTTTTTATAGCTGCTTTTACTTCCCCTCTAAACCAGGTCATTTTTTCAACCAGTACCATCACCTTCCTTGATTGTGGAATTGTGGCTTTTTGGAC